AAACTGCCAGTATAATGATTTGTGTATTAAGTAGGAAAAAATCATTCAATCTGAGAAGTAATAAAAAGAAATCCAGTTACATTTCACCTACTTTAATCCTTAATATTATTACCATGTTTTAAGTTTTGTCTTTTCAAGCCATACATATTTAAACAACGTTGTAGCATTGCAAGAAAACTAGGCGTCGTAATTAGTGCACGCGCGAGGGGTTTCAACTAGCCACTTACAAATGAGAATAACGAGCCTTACTCATTTATAAATCCTTGCTTATCTGTACGGGCTTTGAAGTAGCTGGATGTAAATGTTTTTGTTCATTAAAAAGTGGAGACTGTATTGTAAAAACATATATACCAAACTAGCAGAACCCGTGGCTTTGCTCGCGCTAAAACTATAAAAAAACTCTAAAAAGGTAGATTTCATACAAACTTACATCTCCTATTTTACCCCCTTATGGGATGAATTTCGATTAATGCTATAACACGTATTTATTTAATTGTGTTAAAGAGCATCAATACCAAGTCTCAAGTAATTCTGATCATAAATATTTTTTGGGAAGGAGATCATATCCCGCGGTAAAAAGTAGCTTATATCACTCTGCAGCCCTCCAACTATCTCTACACAAAAAATCACGCCAATCCGTCACTCCGTTTTGACGTGAAAGAAGGACAAACAAACAAACAAACAAACACACTTTCACATTTATAATATTAGTATGGATATTACTGTTTTTCGTTTCTTTGAAGGCTCTTACCCCTGGAACTACATGCTAGATTAGGTAAACTATAATGTTTAAGCAGGTTTATGCAGGCAAATATACTTATAACCTATTTAAATAAATATAGGAAGGTTAGGCGGTTTAAGATGGAGACGATGAAGACGAATCGATACGACACTTAGAAGCGAAAAAATTAAAATGAATAAATTATGTACAATGTACATGTATCCAGCCCTTTTTTGCGTCTTCCTTTCAATACGAGAGGGATCATGCCATTGTCCACCACGCTGGCACTGTGCGGGTTGGCGGACTTCATATATCTTTCGAAAATTTACTAACTTCTCTCAAACATGTAGGTTTCCTCATGATGTTTTCCTTCATCGTAAGACAAGTGTAATCATGTTGGAAATGCTTCGCACATGAAAATATCAGAGATGCGAGACCCGGGATTTGAACCTGCTTCACTTAGTTTTCCAAGCGAGCGCGTTACCATCGGGCTACCACTGAAAAATAATTATACGATTGAGAAATTATAAACTAATTGCGTCTAGTAATATAATGCATTTTGCAGTTATATAATGATTTTATATTTATACTAGCATTTCTCGCGACTCCGCCCGCGTTCAGATGACTAAAAACCAAATTCTTAGGTTTTACTTATTAGTATACTCTTACATTGCAGTTTTTGTTCCTATATTTCCTTCTTCTTCTACCTTCCTATATTTATTTTTTCTCAGAAATGAGACATTTTCCCGCGGTAAAAAGTACACCATACCAAATTTTATCAAAATCCCTCCTGTGGTTTTTCTGTGATGCGGTAACATACAGACATACAGACAGACAGGCAGGCAGGCAGGCAGGCAGACAGACAGACAAACAGGCAGACAGACAGACAGACACACAGACAAAATTCTAAAAACTATAGATTCAGCCTCTGTATCGATAATAATGTCTATTTCAATAAGATTTTCCAAAAAAAATATTTAATGTACAGAATCGGCTTCGTTACAATTTTATTATATTATATGTATATATATATATATATATATATATATATATATATATATATATATATATATATAAATGCCACTGCACACTTTCAAGTTCTTTTGTACTGCTTGACTGGCTGGATATAAACAAAGCTAGTTATATAACGTTTTCAATAGTACATGTAGTGTAGAACTAAGACTTTAATTAATCTTTATTATCTTATCAGTAAATCTTAAAAGATCTTTGTCTTGGGTATTTATACTGATATATGAAGCTGAGAAAATGTATGCTTGAACGCGCTAATCTCAGGATCTACTGGTCCGATTTGAAAAATGCTTTTTAAGTTGTATACCTAATATATAGCCTATTTATAGAGGGAGGTCATATATAGTCATCACATCACACTACTACTGTGCCAGAGGAGGAACTTTACAGAACAGTTGGCTTGGAGGTTAAATGTCTTAAGCTATTCCGTAGTAGTCGAGGTTCTGTTATTTTTGACTCGAAAAATAGTAGAAAAGTTATTGGTTATGTCTAAATGAAGTATCTATGGATTATGGAATCTCATAAGATGCTTAATATTTTAAATAAAACTATCTTTTCGGGATTTTCCGCGGATTGATCTTGATTTTTGGTCTCTATGTGACATTTCGAATGCTTTACAGCAATCATGGTCATGAAAGAGATTCTTTCCAATGTAAAAAGCATTCGAAACGTCGGGAACAAAAATAAAAAAAATCAGAAAAAATTATTTCATTACAAAATTTCAAATATTCGCGCAAATATGACATGTTCAAGAGTTGAACTGGAATATTCCTTCATTTGTAGTTACTTTAAAATTTTAACAGTTTCCAAACTCGCTTATGGGACAATAGCCTTAATTTTTACTATTAAAAGACGGTTTTATATGTTTTATTTATTATTTATAATTCCATACTATGACTTTGGCTTTATTAATTACTAATTTAAACTAAATAATGTTATCAATTATTATAAATCCAAATAAATTTCTGAATCCGTAAAATTGATACCGATTTATTTTTATCTATATTTTCCTTTAATAGGTAAATTGAATGGACTTTTTTCTGAAAACATGGCGATTCAGCTAAGTAGTCTAAGATGGTCTTTCAATAGAAAAGCGTGGGTTGCAAGCATCATTATACAATGTTTGAACGTGTATTTATATTGATTTACTCATTACGTATATAAAGATAACTTAGATATAAAGCGAAATAAAAAGATGAAAATATCAAATAAGATGTCGTAGGAACAGTATTATTGGATATAATAAATACAAACTGAAAATAAACTATGTATATCTCCGATTGCCTATGATCTATCTTTTAAGGTTAGCCCATTAATTATACTCGATAGGTTTGTAACAATTTTTTTTTCATGATGCTTAAATGGGCGTCAAATGTCCGCCGTTTTGTTTTTTTTTAATAATAGTAATAACACTTGTGTTGTCCAGACGAATGTAAGGAAGTGTAATACATAAAAAACCGACGATTTGAGAACCTCCTTCTTTTTTGAAGTCGGTTAAAGTAGGCTAAGTCAGTGGTCAGTAAACTAGGTCAGTAAATACGAGCGCAAATAGGGTCGGAAATACATACATGTATAGTACATACTGTGTGACTGATTAAATTTATAATTTAAATATTTTTTCGTTTTTTTTCCATAAAAAATGCCAATTTCATATGTAAGGGCCTAATAATTGTTAATTTTTACTTGTATTGAGTTTGTAAGAGTATGCTTAATAGAGTACTTTATTGATATACCTTCTATCGACTGCCTAACTGCCCAGCCTATGAGTATGAAACCATTTTTGGAGTAGTCTCAAAAGTCTCGTTTTTCCCGGGAATTTCGAGACCACTCCGAGTCTCGATTTTTTTCCCGGGACTCGTAAATATAACGAGACTGAAAGCCTTAATGTATACTTATATACAGGTCAAACACACAACCCCCTTTTGGGCTTCGTCGTAGATGGATGAATAAAAGCTGAAGGAATTATTGCTAGCGCGCTATTCTCTTGAACGACCAATCTGGTTTAAAAGAAGCGTTTGGCATTTTATAGCCTATTTATTCAGGAAAGTTACAGGCTCTAACATCACGCTACGGCCGTTTTGAGTAAAACAATTATACATAATTAGACTGCGCGAGTGAATCTGTGTGCAAAAGCTAGTATAAAATATTTTGAATTTATATAGATATACATTTTTCCGGGATAAAAAGTAGCTAATGTGTTATTCTGATATATGAGCTATATTATTGTAAAGTTTCATTAAAATCCATTCAGTAGTTTTCGAGTGAAAGACTCACAAACATTCGCGTTTATAATATTAGTCTAGATACATATATGTACATATATCATAACTTCATGCATAGAATATTAAAGTTAAATTAGTTATAATTAGTTTTCAACCAGCAATTTACAACGATTTGGAAAAAACTTTAATGGTTATTATTTCCCTAATTATACCCTATAGGGTAGAATTTTTTCTTGAAATTTACGTGGTCTTATGATTTATATTATGAAAATCCGTATATAATAGGGAATATATATGTTTTATTTATACAATAAATAACATCGTTATATAATTGCAAAAAAATATCCAGCTCCAAAAAACTAAAATTTAGTATAAAAAAATATTCAAAAATATTATCCTGATACGAATAGTTCAAACGTCAGTCATTTCGCGCGCTTGGCGTGACGTCAAAGTATCATACATAGAAAAACGATGACTTTAGTTTGTAGCGACAAAATCGCTAATCGCTCTATTTTTGGTAATACTTTGATGTCATATTCGGTCTGACCAATGGCATGCGTTTCAACTACTTTGAATTTCCCACCTATATTTGCAATTTTTAATATTTATTTTTCTGAATCAAAAAGAAATTACATAAAAAATGTTTATATAGGCTTAATTCAGAAGCAATAATGATTATAAAAAAAATCACCTTTATTTAAATTACATGCATATTCCCTATTAACGAAGATCCTCAATAACTCTTCAATATCATACAACAGAATTGAATACCTCCTATTTTTTAAAGTTGGTCAAAACTAGACATGATACAGAGTATTTTTTTAACATCTACATGTAGTAATATGATCAATAAATAAATTAAAAAAAAACATAACATCGCTTACCTCAGGCAAATTTTGAGATTATTTAATAGTAATTTAAAAGTTATGTTTTTAAAATTTTCCTTTTAAAACGTTATCGCTCTTAAAATAACATAAAAGTGAATTCTTGGTTTTAAACTTAAATATTAATTTAAATTTTCCTTTCAGTCTCTAGGTGCATCTCAAGCACCGATCGTACCATCACGGCTGTTAGCAGATCCTATAGAACTGGAGCGTGGTTTGGCTGAAGCAGGTCATGATGGGTTTGGGGCTCTCAGTGAAGACACAACACCACCGTCCCCACCACCTACTATCATTGAAGAACGGCTGCACCATCGAGTAAGTTTATTTGTCGAATGAGTGAAATTGCTTCATTGGTCTAGAAGCTGGCATTTACAGTAGATCAGGAGGTCCTGGTTTCGTTACTGGATTTTTCTCTCAAGACATTGTCAGTGTTACTTCCTGTGTTACCTTCCCGTGCACCACAGAACACAAGTCCGCAGCCTAATCTCACACTATTCGTGGCGAATGGTCGTCTCACAAGAGTATGAGAGTAATAGGAATAGAGAGTGTACGTGTATCTGCGCAAAAACTTGTGCACGTTTATATTTCCTGTGTAATTAACCATGTAGGGTAATTTTAGTTTTGGCCGCCTTAACTGATACCTGTCAGATAATTATCTGTCCAGGGAGCGATGTGATCCAGTGGCACTAGAGCTATGAAAGTCCCTCTCAGCTATTAGTGGGTAAGATTCTCACAATTTTGATGTTTTCTCAGCGATAAGGTTTAATATAGTAATTTGAAGACTGTTTTACTTCTTTCCTTATTGGGAAACAAGAAAAGGGTCTTTTTTATATGCTATATAATTTGAACGTTTTATTAGTATGTCATGGATTCAATTTTATCTCCCGTTTAGTCAAAGTGTTGATGCTGTTCACGGTCCGTCGTTTCTCATTAACATTATTTTTTATAAATTCCTATAAGTTTAGTTTATTTGGTAGTAATTGTGGCATACAATAATTGGATAGATCTTAAACATTAAATCTAATTAATTTAACCCTATAAAAATCTATTTAAATTTTATTACATACAAATATAGTCAGATAGCGAAAAGTACTGCTCAATGAAATAATGAGGGCGTTTCAAGTCATATTTCTCTTATATTTTATAATTCTACACCAAAGCGTGAGAAGCGAGCTTCTGGTGAATTAACATAAGGAAACTTAAATAGTCTTTTCAAAAATACTATGAATATTTATAATAGGCTTTTACAAGTAATGAATTTTAACTAAGTTTCAAAATAAAGTTGTAATTTTATTTTTTTGATATTTTATTGAATACTAGCGGATCACGCTCGCTTCGCTCGGGTACGTCGCTAGTGAAAAATAAAAACAAATCTATCCCACGGGAACCGTACATTTTTCCGGGATAAAAAGTAGCCTATATGCTATTCCAGACTATAATCTATATCTGCGCCGAATTTTATCCAGATCCGTTCAGCCGTTCTGGCGTGATTGAGTAATCCATCTATCCAAACTTTCGCATTTATATAGTAGTAAGAAGCAAGATTTGATTAGTTTTTTGTGTGATATGTCATCGCCCAGAAAAACGCTAAACCTAAATAACGTTTTTGTATAAGAACATTTTTTTAACACCCAAAAGTGGAGAATTTGTCGAATTTTGTCGAAAGTGACATCTGTATCCTGTATATTATATCATAAAGATCCCGCGGGATGGCATAAAAAAGTTTTATGATGCATGCACGGATCGAAGTAAGGGCCGATCAAAGTGAGGAAGGGTTGTATTTTATGAATAAAAAATAAAATATTACTAGGTTTGAACATACTCGTATATGATATAAGAAAACATACGTAAATTTCTATACTAAAAATTTCATCGAAACAAACAAACAAACATAACACTATACATTGTCAACAGCCAGTGGCATCTATCGTGGCAGTGGTACCACGAGGAGCTTTAGCGCCTTCACCGCGACCGCCGCCTCTTATCATCACCTCAGAGCCCCAACCACCACCGATGAGGTAAGATTTTATTAACCGATTACGAAGTTAAAAGGAAGGTTAGGCTTTAAACGTACATAAGGATGTTTTTTTATCATTATTTATTTTGCAAAACGTTTTAACCTTTAATTGTAACTGCCTTTAGCATTTTTATTCGTTTAGGGATTAAGTACTATTAGTCGATACTTACGCTAAGAGTTATTTACTGTTGAGTTTCTCGTGGACTCTTCTCAAAAGAACTGCTTTCCGAGCATGTGTTAGCTTCTTAAAGGATACACTGACATTTAATCTTTCTATCTTCTATATAAATAAAAATGAATCACCGAAATGTATATACGCATAACTTCCAATCGACTACACTAAATAGGATAATTCTTTTTTTTTTGTGTTTGTTATTGTCAGGACAAGTATCGTGTGGAAGAAAATAAAAAAAATATTTTTTTTACTAAAATATTTTTTTTTTAAATCTCATGATATGAAAAGTATGTAATTAAAATAGTTTTTATCCCGGAAGTCATCCCTTAATTGGGTGATAATGGGAATGAAAGTTGGTATGGGGAAGCAAGCTAGTAAATTTTAAAATCTAAAATTGATGAATCAAAAGTGCTTGTAAAAGTCCATTTGAATAAAGTATATTTTAATTTGATTTCATTTGATTCATAGATAGTTAAAATTAATTTTTAAATCATGAAATAATTAAAATTTTAAAGCATTAAAATAGACAAGAATAGGCCCGCCATTAATGTCGACCAGATAGATAGTTTACACTGACAACTTTTTTTTTATTACTGCTATACACATAAATTGTTCTATACGCATGTATGTACTATACGCGGTACGTTTGGCTCAGTTTGTAGTGACCCTACTTGCTGTTCCAGCGGTCGCGGGTTCGAGTCCCGCTGGGGTCATTCATTTTTGTGATGCGCACGAATGTTTGTTCACCAGTCATGGGTGTTTATATTTATAATATGTATGTATTTAAAGTTATATATGTGTAGTGTATCAACTATCTGGTATCCATAACACAGGCCTCGTAGCTTACCATGGAACTAGATGGTGCTGTGTGTTAATGTACCAACATATTTATTTATTTATTATTATTTATTTTCCTATATATGAACATGTCTAATTATCAATATTGTTGAAATTGTTTCATCGTTAAGTGTACACGGCCCTGTCAGAGTTCGAGCAGTGTGTTCTTTATCTTTATCTCGATTTGTATCGCTTATGTTAGTACCTCTATCACTGAGAGATCTCATTTTTGTTGGCCAACTTCTGATTGAAGTCTTCGATTTCTTTCGATTTTGATGGCAACTGAAACGGGTAATGTTATTATGTATATAATATTTACTAGCGTGTTGATGATATTATTAAGTATATATTTCTAGGAAAACAAAAACAAACCTATACCACGGGAACCGTACATTTTTCCGGGATAAAAAGTAGCCTATGTGTTATTCCAGACTATAATCTATCTCTTTCACATTATTATATTAGTATGGATGTTCGTTGACTACATAAACTAGTTAATGGATTTTCGAAGACTTTTTATATCAATACGCGTAATCTATAGTATACCTTTATAATAATATAAAGAGGTAAAGTCTGTGAGTTTGTTAGCTTGTGACATTGTAGTGGGTAATCTCTGGATCTACTGAACCGATTTAGATGAAATTTGGTAAGAAGACAGTTTGAGACCCTGGGAAGTACATAGACACTATCCCGGAAATCATTCCTTAAGGGGGTGAAAATGGGGATGAAAATTTGTATGGGGTATCAACCTAGAGACAAACCCGAGCAAAGCAAGGGTGAGCCGATAGTATAAAATACATAGACAGTCAAAAGATAGCAACTTGTCTCGTAACATAAAGGATGTCGCAAGTGGTCACTGTAAGGAAATTATGTAAATCAAATGAAAGGGATTGCGGCTTGTATGCACAGATTTCTCACGAGATATTCTCGCCTTGTTTTCTGCTAACCTTTTTGTGACACAACATTAGACATACTTGTAGAAATATTCGAATTTTTTTTTTAATTTATGCGACGTTCTTTTGTTTAGTTTATAGCTTTTAGACCAAAGAAGATATTTTAGGTTTAGTATAGATTTCTCAGAGGTGAGATATTTTCCCGCAGTAAAAAGCATTATATATATTGACACGGATTTATTGAATCTAAAACCTATAGATCGATAATAATGCCTATTTCAATAAGGTTTTCCAAAATATATTTAATGTACCTACAGACTCCCTTTAGAATTTTGTTATATGTATGTATCTCTATCAATACGAGTATTATTTTTTAGAATTTAGGACCGTTTTCAGTAAAGCTTATACTTTTATAAGCATTTATTGTCACTGAAAGAAATATTACGAGAAAATTTCAAAAGTTTTATAGTTACTGAACAATTTTATATATTACAAAACTTATCATCCTACTAAAATATAAAACTTTTCTCTCATACAATCTAGTAATAAAAGTTTAGTATGGAACCCTCGGGGTATCTTCTGTTATCAGTTCATGGTTCACGATTTCCGGTCAAATGTAAAGGTAAATGGGGGAAAAGGAGGTGTACTAAAATTGTTATCAAGAAAAACTTCGAACAAAGTGACAATATTCAAGTTGTATAACACCGTTTCAGTTATTTACAGGGGACGTTTTATATAAAACATTCAGTTAAAGATATTTTTATATAAAAAAGGAAAAATCGGGTACATCGAAATGGTTTTTGTCTAAATTATTGTGCATTATCTTATCTTTATTTTATTAGTATTCTATCTATCTTCTATACATGTAATGAAATTGTGAGTCGAATCTGTACATTAAAAGCCGAAGGCCGAATATATAGATGCCGTATCTCTGTTACAGTGGCTTAATCTTTTGTGTATGTCTGGGAACGTATCACGAGAAAACCACTGGACATTTTGATGAAATTTAGTATAATGATAGCTGGTTATCCGCGTTAACATATAAGATACTCTTTACTGTGGGAAAATATCTTATCTTTGAGAAATATATACTAACCGTTAAAACGTACCTAGCGCCGAACTCGAGCGGAGCAAGGGTGAGTCGCTAGTTATGCTATAAAAGTAGGAGAGGTATAAAAGTTTATCTATATTAAAATTTCGAGTCCGAGATAGCTCACATATCTATGTGGACTTAAAATTTACTAATCTATACATATATATATATATATATATATATATATATATATATATATATATATATAAAAAAATATTTTATTCATTAACAAAATGTTTACAAATTACAAATAAGGTTGAGATCGCCTTTTAAGTGTACAAAACACCTGTGACAGACAATCTCGCTCTTCCATAGCCACATCAAAAGTAACTTGTTATAGCAAATTAAGTTTTACATTATTTGTTAGTAAAATAATGTGTGTGTGTGTGTGTGTGTGTGTGTGTGTGTGTGTGTGTGTGTGTGTGTGTGTGTGTGTGTGTGTGTGTGTGTGTGTGTGTGTGTGTGTTTCATATTCAGGAGATTGATTCCAAAAGCATTTCTATATCCTCATATTTATTCGATTTAAGCCAATTAGTTAAGACTGATTTATAGTGGTGATAACTCAGAGGATAGATTTCTATGGTTTTGTTTATTTTATTATATAAGCGTCCGACTGAATTTTGTACTGACGTGCAGCGAAAGCTGTTTTAATCCTAGGCAGCATAAGAACACCACGATTTCTTCTTTTATCTACTATGTTAGAATCAATAACCAAATTATTATGTCTTTTTAAAACAACCCATAAAATATATAATTGTCTAACGGATAGAATGTTGCTTTCTGAGTATAATTCATGAGTAGGATATGTGTATGATTTGAAGAACATCACTTTGAGTAGTGACCTCTGTGCTCTTTCCACTTCCAGAAATTTCACTTTAGAGGCTCCACCCCACACTGAGATACAGTAACACAACACTGACTGGGCTAATGCGACATATATTTTAGTTAATAGTATTTTCGAAGCTGAATATCTTAAATTCCTGAAAATCCATATTAATTTTCTGACTCTGGAAGTAACTAATTCAATATGTGAGTGCCACGAAAGTCTTTGGTCAACCATAATACCTAGATATTTAGTCGTGGCTACTTTGTTGATTATAGGACAGCTACAGTTTTGATAAGTAGTGCATTTGCAGGAATGAATCTTAATAGTAAAGTTACATGAAGGTTGTGATCGGATATTTTTTGAAAAGCAAATGTAATTTGTCTTCTCAGTGTTAAGTGAAAGCAGGTTTGCTCTTAGCCAACAGGCAACTTCACAGAGTCCTCTTTCTGCAGCTTCATGAACAGTATCCCACGTAGGCCCATTGAAAACTATAGCCGTATCATCAGCATAGGCAAAGATCCTAGCCCCGTTTATGTTTAAGGTACACAAATCGTTAATATAAATTAGAAACAAAGTCGGGCCCAAAACGCTGCCTTGTGGGACGCCATAAGTTATGTATGAATCTTCGCTCAACAGTTGTCCAATTTTTACTTTCTGCTTACGATTACATAAATAATCTTTAAGAAGTAAAAGAGGGGTCCCTCTGATGCCAATATTTTCTAACTTTTGTACGAGAATGGGGACAGAGACGGTGTCAAAAGCCTTTTTTAGATCTAAAAAGACAGCAAGACTTTTGTTACCTACATCAAGTTGTTCAACAATTAATGAAGTTAGAGCTGTAACAGCATCCTCTGTAGATTTTGCTTGCCTAAAGCCAAACTGAGAATCAGATAAGATGTTAAATTTATTCATAAAATATATTAATCTTTTGTTAATTAGTTTTTCTACTATTTTAGAGATACAGGGCAAAATCGAAATTGGCCTATAATTGTTGACATCGTCTCTGGCACCACTCTTGTAAACAGGAGTGATAATAGCTTGCTTTAGTAAAGAAGGAAAAATGCCCTTATTGAAACAAAGGTTAACCAAATGAGTTATGATGGGAGTCACTTCATTAATGGCTAATTTTAAGAAACTAGATGGTATATTATCCCATCCCGGAGCACTATTAGATTTAAGAGACATTATCGTGTCATGAACTTCCATATCATCAGTGTCCAACAAAACAAACGACTTCAAATGAGTATAATTTGTTCGAGAATTATTTTCCAATGTATTATCCTTATATATTTTTTCTGCTAGGTCTTTACCTACATTAGAGAAAAATGTGTTCACATGATTTACTGATTCTAAAGGTGATGGTCTTATGTATAATAAAGGAGAATTGTCAGTTTCTTTTGATTTAAATGTGTTATATTTTTAACATTATACCAGAGTTTCTTAGAATTTTTTATAGATGCGTCCAGCTGTTGTCTGTCATAGTTACGTTTAAGCTTTTTTATTAAATTATTACAATAATTTCTGTACCTTTTGTAACTAATTTTTAAAATTTCATTAAATGGATCACTTTTTAATTTTCTTTGCATATTATTTCTATTTCTAATGCAGCGTAGGATCCCAGGAGTAATCCAGGGTTTGATTATGCGTCTGTTTTTAGGAATATTTCTTATAGTTGTATTTTCTTGGAGTGATTTGCGTATACTGTCAGTTAATCTTTCTATTATTAAGTTTGGATTGTCAGAAAGAAGTAGTTCTCGGAGATTTCTCTCAGCTAAAGAAATAAGCGCTTTATTATAATCTGTTATTAATTTACTTTTTGTACATTTGATTTGATGTATTTTATGCCTAGATAAACATAACAATACCATGTTATGATCGGTAATAGTTGTATTAAGAACCGCGATTTGCGCAGCAACTTTATCCTTCTCGATCTTAAGCATAAAATGGTCAAGACAACTATTTTCTCTTGTAGGGATAAAGTGTCCAGATAATAAACCATGTGAACACAACATATTAAGGTAATTTATTCTGTTGTTGCGTTCATAAGTACCCTCAGACTGTTTTGTAATTAAGTTTATATTCAAATCTCCTGTTATTACTATATTCTTATGTGCCTTTATACTGCATAGATGTGAGTTAAGAGAATCAATGAAATTCACAGCATTAATATTAGAGGGTGATCGGTATATACACAAGATAGTCGTATTAAGAGTTTCTACTTGTAAGCAAGATGCGTGGACCAATTTCAATTCCTTAACATTAGCAGTGATGTTATTTTTAACATATATAGCCACACCATCGTTTTGATTTATCTGATGGGTAGTAGCAAAAGAGTTATAGTTACTGAGGCATGGTAATGGTAGGTTAGGTTTTAGTCTACACTCCGTTAGAACCAAAATATCCAGGCTTACTTTTAGGCTTGCCATTGTTAGTATAAGATCATCAAAATTACTGTATACGCTTCTGATGTTTTGTGTTGCTATTACGATATCCTGTTGCTTAATGCGAATATTATTTCTAAGGACATCAGTATCGCAGCGTAGTGTATGGGTAATCATTGTATTGTCTATTTCATTAAGTGTACTAATAGAATTATCCATTAGGGAAATAGTTAAAATAACCATGTAAAATTATTACGGGTGTTAAGGTTTTAAAAAAAGATACGCATTAAGTCGCGTGTCACTGCAATCTCAGAATTATAATATAGTATGGAACTAGTGTCAGACGTAACGTGTAAAGGTTTGTGCATAAAACTATTGAGTATAATGTTTATATGTTTGTATATAAATTGTTTACATAGTGTGTTTGTTTTTAGAGTTATAGAAATGTATATAAGTTTGCTTACATGTTTAATGTATAGTGTAGTATTAGTGTATTTTTATATAATTTGATTACATAATAGTTTAAAAAAGTTAGTATTAGTGCTAATCAATTCAAGTCAAATGATAAAGAAATTTAGAACACGGAGAAAAATCAAATCGGCAATAGAAAGAAAGGAAATAGATATCAACATTTGTTTTAAACTTAACATAACATAATATAGTCATGCATTCAGCAGCAATTGATGAATTTGAGCTTCACTTTTAACTAGTATAATAGGAGAGTTATCATCTTTTCTTACGTAAACTTTCCCATAGGCAGTCCAGCAGTACTTGAAGTTTTTCGATTTGACCAGGTCGCGAGCAAGAAAATGTAGACGTGATCCTTTCGCCGTTAATTGCTCGGGAACAAAGATAGGTGTGTCCTCAGCCGTACGAAAACCAAGGTGCTTGGCGCATAACTTATTCTTGTGTTTAATATTAAACGATTTACACATCTTCAATATATCATTTTTTATGAGAGTAGATGTAGTCTCAACTATTATAGGGGTATTTTGTACGTTTACTTTTTTTCCACGCACTCTATATATGTCCTTAATTTGAGTTCTATTAATTTCACAGCCAATATTCTTCGTCAAGCACATAACCATAGTAATTAAGTCTTCCTTGGTTTCGTTTTCTTTTTTTGGTACATTTTTCATTTCAAAATTAGACTTACGACTCCACATCTGTAAATCCTCCAATTTATCCTCCAAGATACATAAATACTGCCTGTCTTCTTTTATTTGACCTTCTAGATGTTCAATTTTATTTTTAAATTCTTCATTTTGTGAAGTGAGATATTTTATAGAATTTTCAATGCTTATGTTAGTTTCTTTTATTTCCTCTAGAGTAAGTGCAATTTTCTCCATTTCCTGTTTCTGAGCTTTGAATAAAGATAGCATCATAGATCTCATTTCGTCCTTGAGCCCACTCAGTTCCGAAGTCTAACTCTCTCCTCTGCGTTTATATCGAGAGCTAACGAAGCTCGGTGGAGTTTCTTTAGTCCCAAACTGATTCAAAGTATCCATCGTAATATAAGAGTTTAGAATCTGCTCTAAGGTGTTAAGTAATTAACGACTTGGGGCCAATGTGCACTGGCGAATAGTTATAGGTGTTTGTAATTAAGGTCAAAAGCCAATTAGACGAAAGAGGCGGGATAAGTAATTAGTGTCCGAACCAATTAGTAAAAAGGGGGTAGGGCTTACGCAGGGGTCCTCATTATGGCGTACTTTGCGTGTGCGCAGATTGGTTCGCTAAGTGAGTATTCACTTCTATTCGTTTCTTCACAGTACCAGGACCTCAGAAGCGTTGCGTTGAGTGTAGATTAGTAGTTGCAGATACATATCTTCTTTTTTCATGCACTCCTATTATTTTATGCGGAATTAATTTTGAATTTTACTATTTTAATATATAAAAACGCGAAATAGTAGCAGGTCAGCACGTTAGCACCTTACGGCGGTCCAAGGGGAAGAGGAAATATAATGTAATAAAATTGTAATTAAGCCAAATCCGTACATTAAATATTTTTTGGAAAAACTTATTGAAATAGACATTATTATCGATACAGAGGTTGAATCTATAGTTTTTAGGGTTTTTGTCTGTCTGTCTGTCTGCCTGTTTGTTACCGCATCACAGAAAAACCACTGGAGGGATTTTGATGAAATTTGGTATGGTGATAGCTGGTTATACGCGTCTACATATAGGATACTTTTTACCGCGGGGTAATATCTCATTTCTGAAAAAAATACGAAAACTGCATTGTAAGAGTAAACTAATATTATGTAAAACCTAAGATTTGCTTTTTGTTCATCTGAACGCGGGCGGAGCCGCGGGCAGTGCTAGTTTAATATATAGAATTATCTGCGATTATCATGAAACATCTATGTACTAAACATCCACATACCTTAAATCGTCTCCGAATAAAATGGTTGTCATATACGGACAGACAGACACAAATTAATGTTATTTTAAATCAAGTTTAACAAAGAAGAACCGATTTATAATTTTATATTGGGCTTTTCTTAGTTTTTAGCTAACATGATTAGTAACCCAGTTGTTCTATAAAGGCATATCCGTAGAACCTTATCACAGGCGAAGTAATCGAGTGTAAATATAACAAAGCCTGTATTGTATTGTTTGGTAGACCGTAATATTTAGCCTATACTTTACGTAGTACCGCGATTGTGCCAAAGGTCAGTCGTAAAGATTAGCCTCCTAAAATAGCTTATACGCCCAAGTTACGTACAATTTTTCTCACTAAACTTTAATCAGGCCATTAGAGCTTTATGAACTAACCTAAGATCTTGTCATGTAAAGACTAATAATTAATTTAAACACGCCGTAGTAATTGGCAAGTAGATTTCTTATAATATTAAATGAGCCATTCTTGTATAGATATATGTATATATAAACAAAAGGCAGTGGTAGCCCAGTGGTTGCTTGGGAAACCAAATGATGCGAGTTCACATCCCGGGTTTCGCACCTTTGATATTTTCATGTGCGAATCATTTCCAACATGATTACCACTTATCTTAACGGTGAAAGAAAACATCGTGAGGAAACCTGCATGTCTGAGAGAACCTAGCAAGTTTTTAAAAGACATGTGAAGTCCGCCCGCACTTGGCCAGCGTGGTGGACTATGGCTTGATTCCCCTCGTACTGAAGGGAGGCCAGTGCCTGCTGGGACGTTAAAAAGGTCTGAATACATACATACATGTATATAACTTTATTTCGTGTATCTCAGAAACGGCTCCAGTAAAATTCTATGTTTAAAAAGTATTTTTCAAGTTAAGTTTTGCCACCTAATAATATATATGTATTTTTTTCAACTAGGTTACCGTTAGATATGGCGGTCAGAGGGACTGGAGAGCCAGAAACGTTGAGCTATGAAGTAGAGCTGAATAAGGACTCTGCGCTTGGGCTCGGTATCACTGTGGCGGGCTATGTTTGTGAACAAGGTGAGCTATCTGGATATATTTTTAATCTTTGGTCTTTGATATATTAAGTACCTAAGTATCTTTCAGTAAGTCATATTTTTAAACTAAGAGAAAGTACGAGATAAAATTTATATTAAAGTTTTTATTTCAAAAAACTTGGATTTTTTGTATTCTGTATATACTACTTTGCTTGTATGTATGTGTGTGTGTATTTATTTATTTATTGAAATTTCAGTACATATATAGCAAACACAGATATAAACGATAATAATTGCAGAAGTAAAGAAACTATGTCGCAAGTATTAACACCCTCCACCAGCAAAATTACAGTTTTTTTTTATGTTTGTGTCTTCCTCACGTTGAAATGGTTTAACATAATTAGATAAAACTTTGTGCATAGATAGACTTATGACATGGACTAACACTTACGAGTATGGTACGGTAAGTCACTTAAGCACGCACCCGCTTGAAAAAAGGGTAAGATGCTAGTAGTTAATATTGTAATTAAGTTTTGTCTTATTTTAACGTGAAGATGCTTTTAAAAATCCAAAAAATAAATATGATTTTATATTTTTAATTTTCATATGTTTTTTTGAAGTAGTATTGTTTGCAACTCGGTATTGTAGCTGCTTTGAATTTAGCCTATAATATATAAATATATATACAATATATAAATATACGAGTTTTAAAAGAAAACATATCAAAGTGTCTTTTTTTGGTGATTATTTAATATGAAATATAATTGTTTGTTTGTGTAATTTACATAAATTCTTTAAGAGGTAAAAGTATTAGATAGTTTCCGTAATAATAAATTGATTAAATAAATAGGATACTTTTGTGCTGCGGTAGAATGGGAAAAACTAGCGAAATTTATCACGTCTTAGTGCTTGGTACAAATACATAAGCTTTGCTTTTTAAATATTAATAAAATAATGATAAATAAATATGTTGAGACATTAATACACCGCACCATATAGTTGCATTGTAAGCTGTGAGGCTTGTGTAATGGATACCAGATAGTTGATACACTACATATATATATATAAATATTCTTAGGTTTTACATATTAGTATACTCTTACATTATAGTTTTTGTATTTTTTCTCTGAAGTGAGTTATTTTCCTAGGGTAAAAAGTATCCTATATGTTTCCGGAATAACCAGCTATCACCATACCAAATTTCATCAAAATCCCTCCAGTGGTTTTTCCGTGATACGGTAACAGACAGGCAAAAATTCTAAAAACTATAGATTCGGTCTCTGTATCGATAATAATGTTTATTTCAATGAGATTTTCCAAAAAATATTTAATGTACAGATTCGGCTTAGTTACAACTTTATTATATGTGTATATGTTCTGTGTTTTACTGATCCTCAATAAGAAATAGAACGGCTTGATACATTTGCATATTATCTTATTTACTTTAACGAAAAGAAATAGGCTATTTACAATAAAATTGCGAGAATTAAATGTATTTTTATATATTAATTCTTATAAATTATACCAACTCCTAATCTATTTAAGTAATGAACATTAAAGCTACCTTGCGCAGTGCCTTTTCTTTGTAATTTCTTTGATAACTGCCGGCTGTTCTTAAACTGGGTGAGAATAAATGAAAATTAAGGGGACTTACCGAGTCTACTGTAGAGTATCAAAGCTTTTTACTATTGTATTTTAATTATGTCAAGTTTTAACATCGACAAGGGAAAGCTTTAGTGTTCTTATACGTTATCCTCGTCTTAATCTAAAAATCTATCGCCAGTTAACTTACAGACTTCGAAAACAAGTCTCAGAGCTAGTAGATACTGGCGAAATAAACACCGTACGTACTAAATTTATTTCTCTAAAATATTGTCTTACAATTTGTTACGCTAGAATAAAATTTCGAATCCTATCGCATATTCATTTCAATGCACATTTCTCTCCCCAGGCTTCCAAAAAGAATTTACGCGGTAGGATTATTGCATAAGTTGTAGCGCTTTTGTTTCGCAAAGTAGGTCGCATCGTAATAGTATATTAAATTGTGAACATTTGTGACAATAATTAATATTAAACAGTTAAAACAGGATCTACACTATTATAACTAACTGTACAGGAAGTTTAATTATGGTTTGCCTCGGTGGTGGAATCCTGGGTTCGAGTTCCGGTTCGGTCCATGTACCGACATATATATTTATTTGTTTTAAAAGATAGTTGTAAAAAAAGTATTTTTGTTATACAATAAAACTACATTTTAAACTCAGATGAATTCAGGACGTATCGTAATCTATAGGTAGGTACCTATATACATATTTTAACTGAGTCAAATTGGTACATTAAATATTTTTGGAAAATCTTATTGAAAAAGTCATTTTAATAGATAGAGGCCTAACCTATAGTTTTTAGAATTTTGGCTCTGTCTGGGAACGCAACATGAGAAAACCACTGGTCAGATTTTGATGAAATTTGGTATAATGATAGATGGTTATCCGGGTCAACATATAGAATACTTTTTACAGTGGGAAAACATCTCATCTCTGAGATATCCATACTAAACTTTAAAATGTAACTAGACACGAACCCGAGCGTAACGAGTTGCTAGTTTTTAACAAACTTTTACAAGTAAGAAAGTTATGTTATAATAATTTATGTTCTTCTATCCACCTTGTTTGTCATACAAAATGATTTGTTAGAAAGCGTTGCGTTGAAAACTACGCGCGAGCAAATATCTCGAAAGACAAAAACATGGAGGAAAAAGTTAAAATCTCTAATCTGCTACCATGCTTTTACATAATAGTGTATATATATATATATATATATATATATATATATATATATATATATATATATATATATATATATATATATATATATATATATATATATATATATATAGTTTAGAGCCAGGAGAAGGACATAGGATACTTTTTATCCCGTTCGACCGCGTTCCAATTTTTATGATATTTTAATTTTTGGATTTCTCTTAGTCCGGAATAGGTAAGTATTAAAACATATAATTAAAATGTGAGAAAGAAAGATTTTTTCTTTTTATATCTATTTAAAACGTACCTAGCGACGAACCCGAGCGAAGCGAGGGTGAGCCGCTAGTATATATATATTCTAAAGCGAAATACCACTTACTGAATCTTTACGAAATCTAAGAAAGAATAAATGCTTACTAAAAAGTTTTTAACTTGAAAACGCTAGATAGATGTCTCATATAGAGTAGATATTTTCTAAGTTTATTTTGAGAATCCAACGTTACAGTGATAATAATTTGAAATAATCAAAATTTTAAAAATGCTGATTGAAAGTGACGACTGTTCTGAATCTTTCTAGCCAAAGGAATCATGTGAAAGTGTAAATATTCCTAGTAATTTTCTGGCCCAATTACATTCCAGGACTCACATAAGAAAAAATGTGGAAATTATAACACTCCTTATTAACGTTCTGAAACAAAGTGGGTCACCCCACAATTGTATGAACATTGCTGCTACTAGAGTCCAATAGCTCAAGGCGCGGTCTTTGATAAACTTGCTAATAGTTATCTTGAAATAACGGGTATATAAGGAAAGTTTTGAATCTATTTTAAACTTATTATGAGTTATGACTTCTTCAGCGTTAACCATAATTCTAGTATATCAACCGCCAGTGTGCTGCTTTGTATAGGCTATCAATAATAATAATTTCCTTGGTGGCGTAGTGGCTAGCTGTACGGTTGCAGATCCGGAGGTCCTGGGTTCGAGTCCCGAGTCGGGCCAAGTGTAATTGCTGACTTTTTATGTTAAGATATTCTTGCTTGGTGTTGTTGCACCCCCGTTCCTCGGAGAGCACGTAAAGCCGTTAGTCCTGCACCTTAACTACGGTCGTGTTAAAGTATCGTTCTACTTGTTTTTGCGCGTAAAGTTGTGTATTATGTCTCCTATACATCTACCTAGTCTCAGTGATTGGAAGTCAGGAGGACATTATTTTCATTATGAACTAGCGACTCACACTCGTTTCGTTTGGGTTCGTCCCTAGCTTAATTCCCTATACAAACTTTCATCCCCATTTAAAACCCCTTAAGGGATTACTTTCAGGATAAAAAGTATCCAATGTCCTTCCCAGGGTCTCAAACTATCTTCTTACCAAATTTCATCTAAATCGGTTTAGTAGATCCAGAGATTACCCTCTACAACGTCACAAACTCACAAACTTTACCTCTTTATAATAATTATTCGGCACTTTTAACGTCCCATTGCTGGATACAGGTCTCCACCCAATACGAGGGGGATTAGGCCTTAGTCTAACATAATGACCAAATGCGGGTTGTGTGGTCTTCACACATCTTTCAAGAATTAGTTGTGTTCTCTTAAACATTTTTTTTTCGCGATGTTTTCCTTCGCCTTTAAAGGAAGAAATCTTAATTTTAGTAGCTGTATAACATTTTATTAAAATATTATTATTTACCGATTGATTTTTTTTGTAAATTCATTGAATTATACATATTATGCACGTTTATTTTACAGTATGCAACATTTACAGTACATAATAAAAATATTTAAATGGGTTTTATATAGAAAATGTAAGTTACATTGCTAACAACCTACTAGCCCAGTATAGTTTTTTATTTTTTATAAGCTCCTTCATACACTGATTGAGGGTGAAGTTTTGAGCGTACTTTATTGTATATGGTGTTGATGAATAGCTTTTGAAGTAGAGCTTTCATTAATCGCTTTCCATCAAAAAATCTCGAGCTTAAAAGTTACTTGCGATGTAGTTTCGTTATGGTATAAAAATGTACAATGATATATATGATACTAGCGACTCACTTTCGCTTCGCTTAGGTTCGTCACTGAAGAAAAACAAAACAAATCTATCCCACGGGAACCGTACATTTTTCCGGGATAAAAAGTAACCAATGTGCTATTCCAGACTATAATCTATCTCTGTGCCAAATTTCATCCAGATCGTTTCAGCCTTTCGTTTTTTGGCGTGATTGAGTAACAAACATCCATACATAGAAACTTCCTTTGTTATATTAATGGATTAATGTAGAAGTTTTTATATGATTAACTTTGAGTACAGTGAAATGTGCATCAGTTAGAGTCATAAATGTGGTCAGTGTTGTAAACTAAAAAAATTGTATGTTTAATTATTTTTTTTCATTTTTTTTTCATTTTGTGTAGCCCTTTTATGGAGTACCTAAGTTAATCTATACTAATATTATAAAGAGTTAAAGTTTGTGACGTTGTAGGGCGTAACCTCTGGATCTACTGAACCGATTAAGATGAAATTTGGAAAAGAGATAGTTTGAGACCCTGGGAAGGACATAGAATACTTTTTATCCCGGAAATCATTCCTTTAGGGGTGAAAATGGGGATGAAAGTTTGCATTGGGACGGATGATGATGATGAGTCGCTAGTATAATATAGTAAAAAAAAACTTAGTGTGATTCTGTTGTTACAGAGGAACTGAGTGGTATATTCGTGAAGAGTATCAGCGCTGGAAGCTCAGCGGACTTGTGCGGGAAGATTCAAGTAAACGATCGAATTGTAGAGGTATGTACTTACAACTTATATCTTAGTTTATGTTCTTTATACTACTTAAGCTGTATTATGCGCTCCTTTGAAGACTTAAGCTTCGAAGTAAGTTTAATACTTATTTTTATAAGGAGTTCCATCCAGAGATTAGCGGTTTTATACTGCAGTTTTCTAAGTAAACGATTGAATTGTAGACAAACCGACATACATATATGATTATAATATATACGTCTATGTTCTTTATTTTACCTACTTACTCGTGTGTACTTTTTGAAGGCTTAGGCATAGAAGTAAGTGCTTAAAGGGTTGGAACCCTTTAAGCACTTACTGAGGGTTTCCGGAGCGTTTTTAGTTTAGAATCCTTTTACTTAGATTATGGCCATCTAGCTGTATTTTGTCCATGAGTCTGGTTCACGCTAAGGATTTCATCCGCTATTACTTTAGACAAAATATAATAAAATTATGTTGAATCCTGAGTATGATGTTTTGGCGAATTTTAAGTAAAAATAAGATAACGTCTCGTATCATCTAATACTAGTTATAGAAAACGTCATATAAATTTCTATATTGTCGTTTTTTCCTGTCGCAATTCGTCTATGATGGATGTTCATATTTAACCCGCCTACAATATTTTCTTTGTAACGACCCACCCTAGTTAATCGTATACATTATGCAAAAGTACTGCAGAGCTTTGCCCTCGAAACATATTATCAATAACCTTGCCAATGAACGGACCATTACAAATGCATGTGTATATTTGTTACTCTTTCACGCAGAAATGGCTGGACGGATTTTGATTAAATTTAATTAACAAATAGGCTATGGCCTGGAATAATACAAAAGCTACTGTTAGAACCCTCTGCAAAGCAAGGGTTAGGCGTTTTAGTTTGAAATAATACAGATAATAATATCATCGCGATCCTTTCGGTTACGGCGGTCAATTCAAGTGTGATAAGCCGTCTTTGCAAGAGATTTTATAGTGTAGTAGCGGCTCACCCTCGCTTCGCTTAGGTTCGTCTTTAAAAAAAGAAAGAAATACTCAAATCTCCCTCACTCTTGTAAGAAATACTCAATAACTAATTTTGCCCCGACCCGGGATTCGAACCCAGGACCACCGGATATACGGTGCATGCTAGCCATCAGACACTAAGGTAATAAAGATAATTATTCTATAAATACACATGTTTTGAAATCTAAGTTTAAAAAGAATAACGTACATGTGTTTGTTTAGGAATAAAAAACAGACTAAAAATCTACGTAACTTATTAAAAGTACTGAAATAAATTGCCATAAAATATAAAGTACTGATAGCTACATTTCCAATAACACATAATATCCGTAATATCACTCGTTTAGGAAACTGCTAACGATATAATTTGCAGCCACACGCCGAGGGAACTTTACTAATCTGTTTAAACCCTTGTTAAGGCGTGTTCAGATTAAATGAACATCAAATTTTATAATTAAACAATAAATTACTTGGATGTATACCAGCTCTTTTAAACGTTCCACTGTTGGACACAGGATTTTTATACCAGGGGGAATAGTCCACAGTCTACAGTGACTAATATTTTTTATTTATTTATTTATGTACCAGAAAAAAAACATACAATTTAAAACAAATACCATGTGTGCAAATCTTGACTTATCTCTTTAAGAGATCTCTACCAGAAACCCTTGAGCGTAAGAAAATATAAAAATAATAATGCGGTGCGATGTAGGTACAAACTACAAACATCAATTATAATATAAATATACACATATACAAACATACATACATACATGTTTACATACATATTACATATATATATATATATATATCCATATCCATATCATACTGGCTGTCATGGTAACTTAATTTTAACACTCTCGCTTAGAAAACAAAGTTAAGTATGATCAAACCTCGCGTCATACTCGCCTTACAGTGAAGGAAAATATCGTAAAAAGACCTCTTAATACTTTCTTAAATTTACGCGAATATTTGACATTTTAAATAAAACTATCTTTTCGGATTTTGTCGCGGATTTATTTGTATTTTTGTTTCCCGACGTTTCGAATGCTTTACAGCATCCATGGTCACGGGAGAGACTGAGGTGTTACATGTCTTAAAGATTTAGTTGTTACAGACAGCCTACCCACAATTAACAAAATGAAAATTGCACTAATTACATTACAATATTTTAACTTTAAATATTTTTATAATTTTAATTATAATTGAATATGGAAAATTATTTATTTAATTTTTGCTATTATTTTTATAATTATTACAATTTTTAAAAATATTAATTAGCAATCTATATTTAGTGTTGCCATTATTATATTTATAACCATAAGAAAAATATAAAATATAGTATTAATTATTTAAGCCACAATTGATCTATGTGTAATTTGAAAAAGTTAAGATTAATTAAAAATAATAATTTTAATTTAAATTTGCTATTATTTAAAAACAAATTATTAAGCAACACATTACTACATACATTTACAAATGAAAAAGTGAAAAAATATTATTAATCAGAAATGCTATCATTTTGATCTACACAGTAAGAACTTACTACATCTACCTGTCTGTTATGTTTAGATTTATTATTAGATTTTATTATATTAATAACAGGATCCCATGACGATGGTAGTACCCAGCCATCTTCCCTATTGAAATTAGGATGTTTTTTAATTTCTATGGCTTCTCGAATCATTCTAGGGCGATATCGGTTTTCTTTCGCCAGGATTTGAGGCCTATCGAAGCGAATATAATGGCTTGGGCGGTCCTGACTGTGTTTGCAGACAGCAGATGTTGTATTGCGACGGTGCTTCACATCAGCTATGTGTTCTTTGACCCGGGTTCTAATGGATCTCTTTGTTTGTCCGATGTAAGAGAGCCCACAATCACAATCAAGCTTGTAAACTCCTGCATCTTGTAGAGGGATGTGGCACTTGACAGGTGGTAGAAACTGACTAATTTTCTTTGGCGGCTTGAAGTAAGTTTTAATTGAAGCTCGCTTTAGAATGTAGCCAATCTTGTCAGTGACGCCTCTCATGTAAGGTAGGACTGCAGGGACGCGCTCGACTGTGGCTGGTTTCACTCGGTCCCTGTGACGTAGGCGCGGCACTTGCAGCTTGTTGTCTCGCAGAACTTGCTTGACATGTTGCAGTTCTCCGGCCAGGTGTTGCTCGTCACAGATCCCGCGTGCCCTCTGAAACAAAGATTTTCCCACGGTAGCTAACTGTGAAGGGGGGTGGTGAGATTCACCATTCAAGTACCTATCAGTATGGGTCTTCTTTCGATACACAGTATGACTCAAGGTGTTATCTGGGTTACGTATGACTAATACATCTAAGAAAGCTAAAGAATTATTAGACTCCAATTCCATTGTAAATTGTATTTTAGGGTTTATGGAGTTAAGATGTTCTAAGAATACAGATATTTTATCAGATGGTAATATTGTGAAAGTGTCATCTACATACCGCTTGTAGAAACGAGGGGTCACAGGTGATGTGTTTAGGGCGGTCTCCTCGAAGGCCTCCATGAAGATGTCAGCTACAACGGGAGAGACCGGCGAACCCATGGCCACTCCATCCACTTGCTTGTAGAATTCATCATTCCACAATAGATAGCCAGATGTAAGGCAGTGTTTCAAAAGTTCAGTGTATTCTTCTTGCATACTATTATCCCGTAGCTTTCTTGATACTATTTTGACACAGTCCTCTACTGGTAGGTTGGTGAATAGAGACTGTACATCAAAACTGACCATAGTTTCATTGTCCATGAGTTGTAGGTGTTTTATCTCATTGACAGAATGGTATGAATCCCTTGTAAACGCTGATGTTTGTCCTCTGAGTGTTGAGAGTACTTTCGCTACTAGTTGGGCCAATTTATAAGTCGGTGTGTCGATTTGACTCACAATTGGACGTAGCGGAGCGTTAGATTTGTGTATCTTTGGAAGTCCATACAGTTTAGGCGGCTTTGCACAAGATGGAACAAGATTTTTGACATCAAGATTCAATGCATCGGAGTGTTTCTTAATAAGCTTTTTAGTATTATTTAACACCCAACCACCACTGTGTTAAATAATACTAAAAAGCTTATTAAGAAACACTCCGATGCATTGAATCTTGATGTCAAAAATCTTGTTCCATCTTGTGCAAAGTCGCCTAAACTGTATGGACTTCCAAAGATACACAAATCTAACGCTCCGCTACGTCCAATTGTGAGTCAAATCGACACACCGACTTATAAATTGGCCCAACTAGTAGCGAAAGTACTCTCAACACTCAGAGGACAAACATCAGCGTTTACAAGGGACTCATACCATTCTGTCAATGAGATAAAACACCTACAACTCATGGACAATGAAACTATGGTCAGTTTTGATGTACAGTCTCTATTCACCAACCTACCAGTAGAGGACTGTGTCAAAATAATATCAAGAAAGCTACGGGATAATAGTATGCAAGAAGAATACACTGAACTTTTGAAACACTGCCTTACATCTGGCTATCTATTGTGGAATGATGAATTCTACAAGCAAGTGGATGGAGTGGCCATGGGTTCGCCGGTCTCTCCCGTTGTAGCTGACATCTTCATGGAGGCCTTCGAGGAGACCGCCCTAAACACATCACCTGTGACCCCTCGTTTCTACAAGCGGTATGTAGATGACACTTTCACAATATTACCATCTGATAAAATATCTGTATTCTTAGAACATCTTAACTCCATAAACCCTAAAATACAATTTACAATGGAATTGGAGTCTAATAATTCTTTAGCTTTCTTAGATGTATTAGTCATACGTAACCCAGATAACACCTTGAGTCATACTGTGTATCGAAAGAAGACCCATACTGATAGGTACTTGAATGGTGAATCTCACCACCCCCCTTCACAGTTAGCTACCGTGGGAAAATCTTTGTTTCAGAGGGCACGCGGGATCTGTGACGAGCAACACCTGGCCGGAGAACTGCAACATGTCAAGCAAGTTCTGCGAGACAACAAGCTGCAAGTGCCGCGCCTACGTCAC